ACACGGGTCCAGCGGCCAATATACGACTGACTTTTCCAACCACCGCTTCAAAACCTCGAAATCAAGGATGTAAAGCACCTACGACTCCTACAAAGCTCCTGTAAAGCAGATCAAATTGCTCCAGCAACGAAGTACCCATGAAAGCGAATGCAGAACATCCTCCTGTCTAAATAAATTCAGACACAGGGAAGTCCTCCTCCAACACAATCGTGACTTGACTGGTTGGGAGAGGTTCACAAGGGTGGTTGTTTTAAACAAAACATTTTGTTGCGTTGCACCAAAATGTACCTATTTTTGCCTGTGTACTGATCACTTGTGTGAGCATGCTAACAAATGTGGCCACGTTTGGATTTCCATAAGACATTTTCAGTTAGTTAAAACGGTTCCTATCTCAAGATCGATCATGGTATAGAGCCTCATAAACGCGCTCATTGCAGTTTCATCCCTCCACTTCTACTTAGAACTCTTTACGTTCGATTAAATATCCATGGTGGGCTTGACCGCAAATGGCCAGTTTTGCATAAGTAAGCAAAGCAGCATATGCGTGTAACCATTTGGTTGCGTCAATTTTAGGTTTCAAGCTAAAATGCACCAGGGCAGCGAAACATGGGGTGATCCAAGCAAAAGATTGTTGAGGAATTGGTTCAAGATGACAGCAGTCCAGTGTCGGGGTCTTTTCCTGTGGAAACCTAACACGGTCGAAGCAAATTGTTCTAAGATATCAGGGAATATTCGCGTCATTCGTAGTACATCGGAAACCGTTGCGTTATCATCAAATATGACCTGAAATTTGGCGAATCCCAGGATATTGCTGAGATTACTGGACATGTGATTTGATCTCCAAACCTTTTGTCCCCTCGGGGCAAGAACAGTTGCCGTCTGAAAATTTAAAATGCGCAGAACACAAGGAAAGAACTAAGACAACGGGCAAAACATTTGATAAAATTAAACTAAGGAATTAATATAAAATCAAACGCACAACCGCTTTCCTTCGAGGTAAACTCTGAATATTTATGGCCAAAATTATTTGTTTGTCGAATGAGTGTACCTGGGGTCGTGTTTAAAAATTAGTTTTCCTGCTAAATGTAACTGTTTTAAACCTGAAACTCTTGCCTTATCTTCGTGAATCGCAGTCACTATGCCAGTTTTTGCTCAAAACTTGCTTAATAATTCCTCATCAACATGTCAACAGTTTTGTTCGACATCGTTGAGTTTGCAAAATACAACATAATAAAGCATGTCTATCTTTGTAATTTACTGCATAAAATATAAAATGATAAACTCAAAATCGGCAAACGTATGCTCAGTAGGTTGCACTCAAATCCTTTTATCAGTAAGTATATGTGTGATGCCACTGCAACCGGTCTACGTTGATAAACTCAGTCTAGTAATGTAGGGAATCTTAGCCATATGACTTGACGAAAACACCCCAAGGCTGGTTTCGGGTAAACTTTATGGGTCATCGTAAAGTACTCATCCGGAACAAATCAGTATTGCCAAAGAAGGTAATGAGTTTGAACTTACGTTGTCTGAAAGCGTAACACGTAGTCTCAAAAATGTAACATTGCAGTTAAACAGATGCGTTTTCCATGAAGTTCCCGCAGAATACACACATCCTGTAGTATTTCGATGTTCTAGAAACTCAAGCCCGAACTGACTGTTGTGGTTTTCATCATAGTCGATATCATGCCGGATGAATGTTAACTTGTTCAGTAAATAGTCGAATACATTTGAAAATACGCCGGCATTATGGAAATTTTGACAAACATTTCCATGCGTGCAATCTGTATGCAATAATGCAATAAAAAAAATCAGTAGCTACCAAGTAGAACACTGTATTTGAGACATTTTGTAGCGTTACTTGCATTATAACTAGTAGTGCATGTCTCGACAAAAATAAAAGATGACGTACAGCTAGTTACTACATAAAGGATCACTCCACTAAAATGTGTTGAAAAATTATTTGCTGGATAACGGGAGGCTGTTTAATGAAGCGCATAAATACTACTTTTAGCACGGCATGTGAAACTATTTGTCGATCCCGGTGAGTGCTATGCGCCGAAATAACTGCACGGATCGATTCGATGTATCATTAAAAAAGACTGCACCACTATTAAACTATACCGTAACCCTCCAAAAAGACGCAAATTAGCATCAGTGGTAAAAATTCGTGTCCGCTCATCACATGAAACACAGACAAGCAATCAAATACTTACGCACAAAGGAGTTTAAATAAGGTGGACACGCAGTCTTTGAAGAGCTTGGAGTTAGCCCATTGGAGGAGACTTTTTTAGCCTAACTAACTGCTGGAATTGCGAGGCATTTTTTGCGGTCGAACAGTAACAAGGCGACCACTGCATGAGCACAATCTAGGCTTGCAGTTTAAAAATTAATTTTTTGAATAATTAAAATAGTTCGCCGAATACGTCAGTGCATCTCACTCATTATCTATTCAAACGAAGTATTTCCATCTTTTGTTCCCGACGACAATTTCATGCCGTCTTCATACTGTAGATCTGCTTATTCATGAAGTATCAATCGAAATTCTGAAATATCTTTTCGATTCAAAAAACTGTTTAAGTAGGATTGTAATATAAATATTTTTGCACGATGATCACAAAATACTTTGGTCATGCCACAGTGTCCAACTTTAAGGGAAGTTGGTTCGGCCGCCCGCAAAACCAGACTCTGCAAAAGTGGTTACTAAACTCGTTTGAATGTTGCCAATTGATTTTCGATGTCCATATAAATTTTGGTAAATTTCGCAGAAAAAGCATAAAAATTGATTTTGTACTCATTGTGTAGCTCATTACATCTTTCCTAGATTTTATGCTTAACGAAAGGATATTTTAATTTTTTAAAAGCCTTTTCATTTTTGAGTATTTTTGAACCACGCCTGCCGTTGCGGATATATTAAGGATTTCCAACTTAGAAACGATATATTTTTCGTGCAAGAAGGATCACTCACTTTCATACGCCATAAGGAAAATGTGATACAGGGTTCATTACATTTTCAGTGAACGTTGACTACGCTATATACTTTATAAGCAGCGTCATTAAATGTGCAGATTCAGGACTTTATACAAGAACACTTTACGGTCTTTCCAGATTCCATAATTAGAAACTTTCTTTAAAATTAAAAATCACTCTTTCTCCGAGTTAATATATAATAAAAAATATTATTAAAATATTATAATAAAAAAATATAATAGAATATATTTTTTTATTTTCAACCGAAAGAGTGCAGCAAAGAGAATGTTGTGCATGATTTAAGGTGTTTAAGTTTTTGAGGACTTTGAAATTGAATGGGAAAAAACAGCCTTCTCAAGCGGTTACCTTTTGTTGAGTCTAATTTTCCGGCCGATCCCGAAGGACTCGTTCAAAAACCGGCACGCCGGCCTTACTGAATTGTCTTGAATTTGGATGCAGCCTGATTAATATCACAATCCTACCTAAGTAATCTTTCTGAATCGAAAACTTATTTTATAATTTTAGTTAATTCTCCGCGAGATAGCACGTCTAACTTAGATGGACACTGTGGAATGCAGATTGTATAAGTTTATGTGTTACTAGCCTCTCATGTAGCAGACCCTATAGCGTATATTTAGAGCCTGCTCGGTGTTGCTTGAAGAAAAAACACAGACAGGCGATCCCTGACGCAGGTCCTAATTTGTGGGCTGGCTCAAATGACGAACCTCAAATCATCCAGAAATATGCTGAAGTCAAATGCGGAGGTGTGAGCGACAGAAACAAATCTGTGCATTCTTCAGATAGAACCGAAAATCAGCGATTGTAGCTAACATTAGCAATTTTAGGTTCGAAATGAATTGTCGATTCTACATCTTTTAAAAAATAAACGCAGCCTTTTACTCAAGCCAAACGAATGAATCGTGCGTCGAGGGATAGCCCTTCGTTGATTATGCAATACAATCGACTGTGTATTTTTAGTAAAACTGGACACTGTATTCCATTTAACTTAGCAGTGCGGTAACAATCGGGAGATGACACCCAAAAAATCCGCCTAACCAAAGCAGCCTGTTTTACGGGACAGGTGGTAATGGGGGTTTTATGGGTGATGGCTGGTCGGGATGTACGATATTAGCTGACACAAGGCCTTATTTGAACAGGTGAATGATCGAAGTTGGCCCGCTTTCCGTCCTGTTATTACAAAATGCGTCGCCAAATGCAGTATAGTGGTAACGGACGAGTCTAAGGCGTATAATTGTCTTCCCTCTGAAGGTTATCTACATTTCTCTGTTAACTACTCAAAGAACTTCAAGGCCCCTACCACCGGACGGCACACCAATGCCATTGAGGCATACTGGAGTAGACTGAAAAGAAAAATCCAAGAGGGAGGCCCTGTATATGGTCCAGTTGTGTGGGCTCACATAGACGAAGTACAGTATCGTCTTTGGTTTGGCCTCAATGTCAAGTCTTTGACAGATGCCTGGGAAATGTTCCTGTCTCATGTTGTGCAGACTCATCCTATTTAAAAGTGATTTTGTTTTGTAATAAACTGCCATAATGCGAATGTATGGCGTATATTCAGGTGTACGTGTGCAAGGATGGGGAAGGTTGGGTAATAGCGACCATCGTCCATGTAACCTCCTGCGATGTTCGTTCGGCCAGCCCATGTTAGGCCGTTGCGGAAAGTCCAAGTAGTGCGTGAAAGTAGACCTGCAACCGCTGATATAGCCTGAAGGCGTTTGAGTCTACTGTTAAAGGTATTATTTCTAAGTAGCGAATTTTTTGGGTGCCATCTCCCGATTGTTACCAGCAGTGCTCCTAACAAAACGGTGGTTTTCATGACGAAAGACAATTCCGTGATCTCTTTGCGAAGAAGAGTGACACAGGTGCGTCTACAATTTCTTTTTTTGACATAATGCGTTATCTGTCACCTTCATTACAATTGCAGTGGCTGTTGGAGCGTATGTCGAGCGTTGGCGTACCTTATAGGAACTTGGGTTAATTCTGACCATCTGGACATATTACTGCTTTCACTAACCCAAGTGAGAGTACGAAAAGTCAGGCGAATAGAGCCCTTGTTCCAGCGATCGCTTCTTCCACTTCTTCTTCTTCTTTTTCATCATTATCATCATCATCCTCATCATCATCATCTTCTTCTTTTTCATCTTCTTCAACATCTTCCCCTTCTTCTTCTTCTTCTTCTTCTTCTTCATCATCATCATCTTCCCCTTCTTCTTCTTCTTCTTCTTCTTCTTCTTCTTCTTCTTCTTCTTCTTCTTCTTCTTCTTCATATTCTTCTTTTTCTTCTTCTACTTCTTCTTTGTCTCTTCTTCTTCCACTTCTTTGTCTTCTTCGTCTCCCCCTCCTTTTTCTTCTTCCTCTTCTCCCTCTTCACAGCACAGCGTTTTACTCAAGCCAAACGAATGAATCGCGCGTCCAGGGACAGCCCTTCGTTGCTAATGCATTACAATCGACTGTGTATTTTTAGTTAAACTGGACACTGTATTCCATTTAGTTTAGCAGTGCTCTTAACAAAACGGTGCTTTTCATGACGAAAGAAAATTCCGTCATCTCTGCGCGACGAAGAGTGACGCAGGCGCGTCCACAATTTCTTTTATTGACAGAATGCTTTATCTGTCACCTTCATTACAATCGCACTGGTTGTTCGAGCGTATGTCGAACGTTGACGTACCTTATAGGAATTTGGGTTAATTCTGACCATCTGGACATATTATTGCTCTAACTAACCTGCCGCTGATGTTTGGCTTTCGGGCCTTCTGCAACAGGGTGGGGCACAAAACTATTTACTGACGCTCAGTCTATGCATATGTCGGATTTGTCAAGCTTTTGACGTTAGACACTGAATCTATGGGCCCAGTATTATGAAGGGCTTGAGGGCAAACGTATGTCAGTTTGTAGATTAGGATTATGTCATTATTTGCAGTTCTGACAACACAGGTACTGACTAAAAACCCAGACGCGCATGTTTCGCCGACCTTGTACCGCTGCCTAAAGTAGGTGTGAGGGGTTCGGCTCTTCAATTGGTCCTTCAGACTTCCGCGCGCGTTTTCTGGTCTATGAACTCCAGTATCACCTTTCCTTGTTTAATTTCCGAGGAAATAAATGCGCAAACTTGGAAGTGATCCTTCGTACTGTGCCTGAAAGGGTCTGTTCCGAAGGATTTACTACAAGTTCATACATTAATCTCCTCGGAAGTTAAACAAGGCAGAGTAAAAATGGAGTTCATATACCAGAAAAACACACGGGAAAGGCTGGCGGACCCACTGATGAGTCGAACCCCTCGCAGCTGCATCAGGCAGCGGCACAAGGTCGGCGAAACATGCGCGTCTGGACTTTTAGATTCTACCTGTGTTGTCAGTACGGTAAATTATTTCACAATCCTAGACTACTGACTGCCTATTGACGGATTGTGGTTTTTATGCGGTTAGTCAGCAGTAGCAGATGGATTTCAGCCCAAATATTCATATCAGATTTCGGGCTGTGTCTGAAATGATCTTTTCAGAAGGATTTACTCCAAGTTCGCGCATTAATTTCCTCGGAAATTAAACAAGGCAATTTGGAGATTGCGTTTCTTTAAATCGATATATTTTCAACCATGCCCGCCCTTCGTCAGACTCCTGCATCTGTAAGCACATTCACCTCGCAGCCTGTTTGAAACAATTAGCTTGTCAGAAACTTTATTTAACATTGTGGGCCGGTCTCAATCTCTTGCTTCGCCGTAGGCTGTGTTGGTTTGGCAGAATTTTCTCTTCGGGCAAATGAGTGATGGCAGGTCCCAGGTGTTGCAGAAGAAGAGTGATTTCCTGTGTAACATTACCACTGCAAAAATCGCTCCTCGAACGTCTCGCATCTCGATGAGGGTAAAATAGTTCGAAATATCTCATTCCTATGCATGCACTAGTTAGGCAACTGCAACAATTGTTTTCACATTTTTTTCTTAATTTTCGCGTCATTGTTCCACTTACTCTTAATTATTCTTATATGTCCGCGGGTGGACAATAAGCCGTTGTTAAACAACTAAACCTTAGGTATTTTAGCAGTTTGCAGTGAGACTAATGTTATGGGATCATGTGATTCCGAAATTTTAAGACAAGTATCCTGTGCTTGCTGATTAACCGGCGGCGCTAAACGCTTTCTTGTAAGCGTTTGACCTGCACGCTTGCTGACTAAATGACTCAAGCGAAGTCTCTGAAATGCCCAACTTTGCATCCGATTATGACTTCTTAACCGAGCTAAAGGTGACTTTTGGTGGTTGGTAGCACAAGAGAAAAATGTTTCCCTTAAAATATGCGATTGCCCGCCAAGGATCTGGACCTGAAGCCCTCACGCAAAATGCACATGCTACTGGTTTTCTGCAAGACGGGCAGAGTCCTATTTGATCGTGAAGAATCATTGCTGTGGGAAAGATAAAGTGATTACCTCGATTAGCGGGTAGGCTGTTTGATTCAAATGCACACTAGTTGAATGACTTGGCTTTTCGTTTCAGGGGATTTCAGCGAAGGGGCGAAACGTAATTGTTTAAGTGCATCACCCTGGCCAAAAATTGCCCCGCAAGCTTCACCTCCCTACTTGCTTACACCTCTGAGTTACTTGGATCTCTAAATGCTAGACACATGTCAGCTGCCTGCTAGTGGGTCAAAATGTCACATGAGATGTCCCATGCTGAGAGCTTAATTGATCACGCCCACAGAGGTAGTACTCAGACGATTACTAGTGCTGTCTGATTTTACACGTCTTGCCAATTTTGGGGTCAAAATGTAGTTTGTTAAGTTTATTTGGGTAAGATGTGGTTTCGTAGCCCCACCTGATGGGTTAAAATACTGTTGGGGTTGGGGGTAAGGGTTAGGGATTATGGATAAGGTATACGGGTTATGGTTAGGCATTCGGATTTCGAATAAGGAGCTATAGTTAGGGGTTAGGATCAGGGTCATGGGTTAACGCAACTATTTCTCAACCACCCAAAGTACAACCACACATTCCCAATAGTTTTTCTTTTGAATACAAATACTTGACCTCGTCGCCTGTGCGTTTTCCAGCCCCAACTGTAAAAACCCCTATTACCCCCGACCCGTATTAAATGTGACCGAGGTTTATTTACTTCAGGTGGGGCTACATAACCACATCCGACTTTTATTCGGAAAAGTAAGCATTGTGGATGCATTGAATCAAGGTATCAAAGGTAGTCGACGCTTCTAAATGAAAACGAACGATAGCATTAAGTGACAAAACTGGAATCAAAAAGAACATATCATATATGTCGTTGTTAGAGTGGAGTGATGACGATTTCTGTATCTGACCAAACGGAAAACCTTCTTGAGATCATATAGTCCAGTCGTCATTGTCAGACAGTGCGAAACTTATGAAAGGCAAAGTCAATACAGTTAAACTGGCAAGTTAGAGCACGTTTAGGGGTTACAATAACAGGCATCACCAAGTGCGTACATGCGACCAATCCCAATGACATTGTACATCGTGTCATGGGATCAGTAAAATGCAACATCTGCTTAAATGTCCGTTGAGCAGAAGCGACTGCCATCAGGCTACAGAGACCGGTCCTGTGCGTGCAGAAGAACCTCTCGCACGCTCCGCGTCTACAGTGGGCAAGGATCGATTAAATGTATGCATGTCTCCGCGCCCCCTGTCCCCCCACCCCCTCCTCCCCCTTGGGAGACGGCTCTACTTAAGCCTCACTGTCATTAACTGCCGCCCTTCAGTTTCCTCTCCTCTATTCACATACTCCGTTTGTATGAAAAGACGATCTGTAATCGATTGCTCTTATCGCTCACACGTTTCAGTTTGTACCTCGTCCCTGTATAAATGTACCGGCTCAATGAGAATTTATCGAAAGCACGCGTATGTTCGCCAAATGCTCTTCTGGACGCGTGCAGATATCTTCGGCCACCAACAACACAAAAGCAGAACGGCTAACTCTCGAGGCGTGGTTCTCCGATGCCCACTCTATCAACAGGCATCTAGACCTTCCTGCAGCTTACAAAGTCCTACGTCATCACAATCGTAGAGCTCAGGACCAAACAACCACACCGGACTTAAAAAGGCCCTACGGAGATAGCCTGACGCTGAGTCTACTCGGTGAGGAAGAAGAAGAACCGCCAGACCAACCGCCCGACAGAGATTCACCCAGCTACCCTCGACGGAATAGTGACTCACAAAGCACACAGGCAAAACGCCCGTCCACCATCTCCCGAGAGGCTGAGGCAGCGAGAGGGGAGAAAAATCGATCAACATAAGGCCGACCAACACAAGATGCCACTTTAAATTAAACTTCCGATCGATTAAGTGCATTTTCGCTTTGACAATGAA